CCTGTTTTTGTCACAGTGAATAGGTACCTTGGTGTAAAATGGTTATCAGACAACAGAGTTAGGTTGATAACAATCCCTCCTAGTGGAGAAAGGGATCCCCCTTGTCCGCTTGCACCAGGATGTGTTGGCAGGTTCTTCAGGGGCAGTATATCAAAACATGATAGTGCAATTATCCTTGGCTTTGGATGTGAGTACCTAATTACATTCAAGATTTATAATTCAACAGAAACAAATGTCCGCTGCTTATGTACTATTGTTTTCTTACCAAACTGTCAGAGTTGACGACGGACTGTGAATGCCTGATAAATAACAATTGATACCGTTTTTCCTCAGATACTAAAAATGATGCAAGGGAACGAACAGTTCGATACTTAAAAGCAGAGCAGAATTTGTTATTAGCTGTTGCTAAAATGGACCAAAGTGACAAAGAGATAGAAGATGTCTCAGATGTAGAAACATACATAAATGGAAACTTGTCCCACCGAGAGGTGCTCCCAAACACCACACCATGGGATGAAACGCTGCCAAATATTTAGTTATTTAGATTATTACTACTATACTGTCAGCTTATTTTTTCCTGGCTTACTGATTTGTTTTTCAAAAATTGTCAAAGAAAATTTATAGTTTTAATAAGTGGCTGTTGGTAAAAGGAGGTCTTTTATACAAATAGGAAGATAACTTCCGAAAAATTATTCTGTAGTTTTTGTGCCGTCTTATCCAATTGATTAATGAGGTACTCAATTTGTCAAGGTTTATCGAGTAACTGAGACTGGAGAGTGCAAGAAAAACAGAAATAGAAAATATGAATGAATGATGATGGATATGTTGAACATGAGCTCGGAAGATATAGGTTGTTTTCAAATGGAAAAAGCTGTTGCATTGTTTACTGGTAACAGTATCTTTTAGTCTAATAAAGCTTTCCTTGGCTTACTCACTGACCTTATGGCTTTCTGGTAGATTTTGTTAAAAATTTTATCAATGAAAATTTTTTTTCTAAATAAAATATTTTTTTTCTGCAGCATCAATGTATCATATCCCTTTCACTTGATTCCAAAAACATTCATCGAACTAGCTGTGATGTTATTGAAGGGTCCCGCAATGACTTAGCTTATCCAAAGTAGAATGAGCGGCTATAAGGAAGTTGAACATTTAGGGGAACATCTCAGATTCCATATGTATGGGGAGTTTTACATATTTATACAGATTACTTTGTATATAATTAAAATGATCGGTTTATAACAAGATAAGAAAATAATTTAACCACATTGCAGAGCTCTAGGTACAAGAGGCGCCTGGGCCCCAGGCCCCGTTCCCGAGGCCAACGCCGGTCCTGGGCCTGTTCCCACCCTCCTCCCTGTTCAGGCGTCAGCGTCCATACGGCCACCACGGCCGCGGTCTTCACGTCGACGGTGAGGAAACAAACCCTATTATGCTGATCATGCTATTAACTGTGTCTTCTCGCGCCGCTGACTCTTCGTTTCAGATCGCTCCACACCCCGGTCGCTCCTCAACATTGCAGACGGCAGGCACGCCCTGGGGAAGCTGCGCATCGGTGACTTCTTCACCTCCGAGCTGCGGCCGCCCTGGACGCACTCTAGGTCGTAGCCGACATGTGAGCTCAGCGAGAGTCCCAGCCGGCTGACGAGGCCAGGCCCAGGT